GCCCTACCCCGCCACAGGCTGACGCATGCGCTCAGACCATTCTGGAGGAAGGAGGCGTGGATCGTGAGGTGACCCTGGCCTCCAACTTCCGGTTCCTAGGGATGCGCATCCGGGTCATACAAACGCCGCGGTTTCCTCCGCTCTGTTGGTTTCACCGTGGGTCCAGCCGGTTCCCCAGGGGTTTGGAGTCCGGGATTTGCGGCTTTCGGGTGAGTCCCCGCCTCGGACAGACCGGGCCTGAGCACGGCCGGTCGGGTCCAGGCCGTGGGAGCTGAGTCTCAGAGCGTGGGGGTCCCTGCGCGGGTCCCCTGCCTGCAGCCCTCCGTCCCTCGCCCGCTCAGCCCCGCGCCCTTGCCTGTTGCCTAGCCGCCGCCTCTCCATTTTCCTTCCTACTCTCGTGGTTTAACCCTCCCTTTCCTCCGATCCCCGGAGCTGTGTGTGTGTGGGGGGGCTCCGGGCTTCTCGGGCCGACCCACCTCGCCCTCTTTCCCTGCGAACCTGGGCCGCGTCCTGCAGCTTCGCCCCTCCGGCCCGTCCCCGCTCCCGGGCCGGCCCCCGCCGGGCGCCGCCGGGGCTTCGCTGCAGCGGGGCTGGCTTGGCCCAAAGCCTGGCGAGGAAGACTTCCTCGGCCCCGGGCAACTTTGGCTGGAGGCGTTGGGGTTTGGCTGAACCCTGCCAGCTTCTGTGGTTGGTTAGAGAACAACAAAGGCTCTCCACAGTTCTTCCTTGGGGCTGTCTGAGGGCTCTGTCCCCGGCGGCTAACAGGTGGCCGGGCCAGTGGGTGGCTGCACTCGTGTGGACGCGTCCATTGACAGGTCAGGAAGACGACCTGTCATTTTCAAGTTGTCTGCCCCAGGAGAATGGATGTGCACAGCTGTGTCAAAAATGCGAATGTTCTGGGACGTCAGCTCTGCGTTCGGCATGGGCTCTGCTGACAGGACAGTTGCCATGATCCAGGATGGCCTTTCTTGGGAAAGAATTAACCTCAGGTCGTGTGTGAGTGTGTGTGAGTGCGCGCGCCCGCGCAGTCCTGGGTCTTGAACTCAAGGCCTGGGTGCTGTCCTTGAGCGTTCTTGCAAATTGGAGGGAAGTGGCTCACGGAATTTCCAGCCCTCCTGGGTTGGCTTCAAAGCGAGATTCTCAGATCTCAGCTTCCTAAGTAGCTAGGATTGTGGGTGTGAGCCACCAGTGCACCCGGTTTAGCACAAGGTTTACCAAGTGTATCCCTAAGCATTTTAGAGTGTTGATACAGAAATGTTTTCACCTACAGTTCGCTAGTGAAACTTCAAAGTGTTTAGTTAGTTGAATGCAGTAGGCAGATGTGTATCTCCGTTCTTGCCTTGTAAACTTTTTGTTTCTGTGCCATTTCTGGGGCTTGAATTCAGGGTCTAGTCGCTGTCCCTGAGTGTGGTTCCTCCCCCTCCCCCCAAGGCTAAATTCTACCCCTTGAGTCCCACTCTGGCTATCTTTTTTTTTGGTCGATCCTGGGGCTTGAACTCTGGTCCTGGGCACTGTCCCTCAGCTCTTCAGCGCAAGGTGAGTGCTCTACCACTTGATCCACAGCACCACTTCTGGTTTTCTGCTGGTTTACTGGAGATAAGAGTCTCACTTTCCTGCTGGCGCTGGCTTTGAACAGCGATCCTGAGATCTCAGTCTCCTGAGTAGCTAGGATTACCTGAGTGAGCCACCTGTGCCCGGCAAACTTCTGGCTATCTTTAGGTGATTAATTGGAGATTACTGTGTCTTGGACTTTTCTGCCCTGATTGGCTTCAAACATTGATTCTCAGAACTCAGTCTCTGAGTAGCTAGGCTTGCAGGCATGAGCACCCTCTACCCTGTGCACTCTAACTTAAAAAAAGAAAAAAACTTATTATTGTTGTCATCTTGATCCTGAAGCCATCTTATGGCTTTTTGTTTTGTTTTTGGTTCCAGACTAAGTTTCAAGATTTTTTGGAGGGGGTGAGGAGTCAATCCTGAGGCTTAAACTTGTGGCCACAGAGCCACTTCTTGTTTTATGGTAAGAGTCTCACTGACTTTTCTGCCAGGGCTGGCTTCACCAGTGATCCTCAGATCTCTTCCTGAGTAGCCAGGATAACAGGTGTGAGCCTCTGGGATTGAATTTTTGATCTGTCATTCATTGGCTCATTCGCTGACATTCTACCATCTGAGCCACACCTCTAATCCCTGAAAGCCATCTTTTTTTTCTCATTTGGGACTTAGAACATCTAAATACCTTGGGAGAGTAATATACAACATATAGAGACTAGGTTCATAGTGGTAGTGCCCTAGTCAACGAATGTTGTGGTCCAAGATATATTTTGAGGTATAGTGTTGGATCATTTTTCTCCCTTAGGTTTATGGTGTATGTGTAGCATTTGATTGCAAATGTTTTTTGTATGATCCCTGCCTGCAAACATATAAGCTGTGCTCTAAAATTTAGTACTTAATGGGAAGAGAAGAAATACAACTTTTCGTGTCTGTTTTTCCTTTGGCTTAGTTCTCCCTCATATGATATATATGCATCTGAGGTTATAGCTTAGCCCTGGCTTATTCCAAAATTGGGCTGCTCTCTTTACCTATTTTTAGCTAAGGACTTTGGAGCTTGGCCGCATTGGTCCTAGATACCACAGATAAAGACCCTTCTGGCTGGCTTTAGGACTTTGACTAAGTGTTGAGGGAAGTCCCTTTGAAAGTTTCTTATCTATATCTCCTCTCAGCACCTATTCTGGAAACTGTAGCTTTTCTGTTCAATTGGACTTCACCATTTCTCCTCTTTAAAAACTAAGCCCAAGGACTGGGAATGTGGCTTAGTGGTAGATTGCTTGCCTAGCATGCATGAAGCCCTGGGATCAATTCCTCAGTACCACTTAAACAGAAGAAGTCGGAAGTGGCTCAAGTGGTAGAGTGCTAGCCTTGAGCAAATGAAGCTCAGGGACAGTGCCCAGGCTCTGGCCCCAGGACTGGCCAAAAACAAAAAAACAAAAAACTAAGCCCAAATGGTTGACTTTGGTTACTTCCTTACTTCTGTGTTTCTGAAAGTTTTTTTTAAAGCTTTTGGCATTCCATAGCTAGACCTGTTTGGGTTGATGCAGGACAGTCATTCCATCTCTTTCATTTCCAAGTCTCCATCTGTATATAGGTATTTACATTTTGTAGTTGGAGGGAATCAGAGTTCAAAATAGGGATCATCATAAGGAAACCAGGACTTAAAGAATGAATGATGGTTTTTTCCAGTCATTTTTTTTTTTAATATAAAGAAATTCCGCAAACATTGGGGGCACCCACCTGCTATCTGAGCACTCAGGCGGCTGAGGTAAGAATTGAGAATTTAGGGCTGGGAAGGTGGCTCAGTGGTAGAGCGCTTGCCTTGCATGCCTGAGGCCATGGGTTCGATTCCTCAGCACCACATAAGCAAAAAGAAAAAAAAGCCGGAAGTGGCGCTGTGGCTCAAGTGGTAGAGCGCTAGCCTTGAGCTGAAGAGCTGAGGGACAGCGCCCAGGCCCAGAGTTCAGGCCCCACGACCGGACCCCCCCTCCAAAAAAAAAAAAGAATTGAGAATTTAAAGCTAGACTGGACTACCTAATAAGTTCAAAGCTAGCCTAGGCTACATATCGAGACCTTGTCTCAAAAAACAAACCAGCAAAAATGTACAAAGTCATACACATGTACTTAGTATAGTGAGTTTTAGTTCCATCAGAGCTATAGGCCCTTAGTGGGTCATTTGAATATATATTTTGGTCATAAGAATTACCTAGGTTCAGGGGCTGGGAAGGTGGCTCAGTGGTAGAGTGCTTGCCTTGCATGCATGAGGCCCTGGGTTCGATTCCTCAGCACCACATAAACAGAAAAA